CTCATGTCTCCTGGTTTAACGTCTCCTGCCTCAGCCCCTGTCGGATCCCGCCTGCCATCTGCTCTCACGGTAATGACCTATAAGAAATATTCGTGTTCAAAGACTGAAGTCAATAGAAAACCACCAATGTTAAATAATATGATTGTTAGACAGAATAAAACCATACAAAACCAGAATTCTGGAGTGAGGGTTTATTGTCACCGGAGCTGACAACCACACACTGCTGGCCAACCAGGAAGTTGATCCATTTATAGAGTCTTCAATGCCCGCGTTCGCCCCCTACTGACCTACGGCTGAATCACGGGCATTCAAATAATTCTCACCTACTGTTCTCATAACGGTTAAATATGTGTTGTTATAAATATTTCGGACATGTAACTAATCTAAATCTATCAACACATAATAGATAAACATTATAAAAAGGAAAACTTAAAAATATAGTGTTGTGCTTTTAACATCAGTACTAAACTCTAATAACTATAAATTTCTTCAGACCTTTTTTCTGTCTCTTGGATTTTTGTCTCTCGCCTGCTCCCTGAAGGGAACCGCGCCACATCGGACCTCCTGGATCTCRATCCCTGAACGCATCTCTGKACCAACAACTCMGTCATCTCCTTCAAACCTGGTAACTTCCTCTGACCACCTGTGTATGACCCTTGCCCCGTTTCTGACCTCGAGTAAGTCCAGCGACATTATCACTCCTCGACAACACAGCCCGGAACCAAAACACATCAGCTGTTGTTTCAACCCGGACTTCAACTCAGCAGCAAATGTTGGTGRCTCTCTTTATTTTTACAAATAATACCGTGTTCACGACTCAACCTAACCCAAAACTTCTCTGTGTCCAGAACTGACGACCCCGGAGTCCGGTCCCAACCTTCCAGCCAAAATTACTAACAATAAACTTGTTAAAACTTTGACTTTGTTTGGCATTTATTCAGAGCTCAGAATACAAACTGTAACAAGCTGCTCTTAAAGGAGAACAATCTGCAGGACACCTTCAGAGACTGTGACTCTGCTTAAGGTTCTCATCACATCTCCTCTGACCACAGCTGAATCTGAGAGGAGCTTCTGAAGACAATCCAGACTTTCCTCAGGTACAACATCACATCTCACTGCACTGACTGTGATCCAGAGTCATGAAGATATTTGCTTCTCAGTTACAGAAGAGCAAAATTTATGTACATAAAAGAAAACACTGCATGACAATGTAACTCTGATTTATTATTTATCATTTATTTAATAAATACACTACCGTTAACAACTTAGTGATTACTTTTTGAGATATGGCTATTGGAGTCTAGATTTAAGAACCATCACAGTACAGAGTCAGAACTCTTAAAAGTTTTAAATGATATACAGCTAGGAGCGTGAAAGTCTTGTTTGTTACTACTATGAATATTGGCCCTCATGCAAGATCATGTTCGTATTCTTATCCTAAATTTCTCTTACTTTTGTTCGTACAAAGGGTTCGTACGAACATGTC